AAGTTCTCCATAAGGTGAGGGTGGAGTAAGTTTTGCATAACCGGTGATGAAACTGTGTATTTGTAATTGAATTAGTTGAATAAGAAACACAAGCAGAAAAGTGGCAGCAGTGTGGAGTGGTGTTAAGAGCCAGTCTCTGGAGGTGAGTAGCCTAAATTTAAATCCCGGCTCTGCCACTCACCATGGCAAATTACTTTATCTCTATGCGCTTTAGTTTCTTCACCTGCAGAATTGGGGAGAAGAGCACCTATCACAGGAGGTTGTGTGGGATTTGTTAACATATGTAGGATGCTTTACGTAGACATGTCCAGTAAATAGCAGAGCAATACATTGGCATTTGCTATTACCATTATTATTAGTAGTAATAGTAGTATTTAACAAAATAATATGACCAGAAATCAAGGTTAAGGAGGAGGTTTAACTACAGATCTCCCCTGACCTTCGGTGGGGTTATGTCCCCATAATTACATCCTAAGTTGAAAAGGTCTGAAGTCAAAATGCATTTAATACACTTAACCTACTGAACATCAGTCTGCCTACCTACCTGCCTACCTAAATGCACTCAGAACACCTACGCCTACACCTACATTAACTACCCTTGGTCAAAATCATCTAACGCAAAGCCGGTTTTATAATAGTGTTTGGATACCTCATGTAATTTATTGAAAACTGTACTGAAAGGGAAAAGCAGAATGATTTTAAGTGCATCCTCTGTTTACTCTTGTGATCTAGTGGCCGACTGGGAGCTGCTGCCCAGCGTCCCGAGAATACCCTACGGCACGTCACTAGCCTGGGAACAGATCCACATAAGATTCGAAGTATGGTTTCTACTGAATGCGTATCACTCTCACACCATCAAAAAGTCAAAAGATCTTAAGTCTAACTGTTGTAAACAAGGGACTATCTGTAGTTTTGTCTTCTTTTCTCCTCTGTTTCTGTTGCTTGTATCCTTGCAGATAAATCTGACTTTAATTTTCTGTGTACAGGTCTCCAGAGTGCTGGAGGCATCCTCTGTCGTTTGCTAAAAATGAAAATGTGCTCCCTACCAAATTTTGGCTAATTGTGTCTGCTTCAACCAAGAGCGCATATCTTTTTTTATTATGCATACAGCTTAAGGTGGTTAGTCATATTATTAGCCATAATTATTTTCCTGACCTAATTGTCATACAGTTATGTGGTGTCTTGTATTTTCATAATGCCTCACAACCACTAATTGCATAAAGGGGTCTGTTTAACACAGGCTTACTTAGAGTTGTTTGGATTTGATGATGCCCGTCTTTGTATACTTATTATAAACGTAATAAAAAATGTTTTGTTCCAGATTAATATCAGTATTTGGGATGATGATGTCTCTACCTGATTGTCTCAGTTCCAAGACATACAGGTTGGGACTAGAATTGTCATTGAGCAGCTCCCCTTACTTCTTGTCATCCTAGAAAGCCTATAGTGATGCCAACATTATCACCTGCCTTATGCATGGGCACAGCTGGACCTCCTTCAACAAAGTGTGATTTCAGGGAAGCATACAGGCCTCCCTGGCTTCCAAAACACTTAGAAATGGGAACTTAACGTTTCTTAATTAGAACTGTATTTCTTTATTCCTTTGGCTTAAGCCAGATAAGAAATTTAGTCCATGCTAAAAATTAAAATACTCTTGGGAGAGAGAACACATCAAATCCTATCATTCCTTACACTTCAGGATGAATGAACTTGTGAAGTTTTTTTCTGAATGATCAGTGAGGACACAGAAAAATCCACAAAATTGAAATGCAGGCTGAAGTTGAAAAAAGAGGGAGGAGAGTCAGATGATACCTACTTCCAAAGTTTGGCAGACTTCTGGTTAAGTTGAATTTAACAACATTTCTTTCCAAAGTGCCACTACAGTTACAATAAAGGGACTTCTCAGAGTATGAGCCAGACGAAGAACACACAAATTAAGACAGGAAATGGTAACAAAAAATTGAAAATTGGAAATTTATGGTAAAGGGAATAATTGACAGGGTACCTTAAGAAAGCTGAATCCTACGGCAACAATTAAGAAAACTAAGACCCAAAATGATATATTAACGTATTCACAGAACCTCCCAATAGCTCTGAAATTCGTAGCAGTAAGAACCTCTGGAAATAGAGGTAAAAGTGGGATTGAATATAGCAGGATGGACTGAAAGTTTGTTTGGAAGTAGATCGATCCATTACCACTGCACAAGATTGCCCCCTTTTTACCCTAGTTTTAGATTTGAGACCAATTCCAGGAAAGATCAGAGGCTCCATATTGACCAGGTGGGAGGGAAGAAGAGGGTAAAGTGAAGGTAGATATTGTATATATTGAGCACACATCCCCAACCCTCATCCTCTTTTTGGCCCCCAGAATAAAGGCATCAGGCGGGGGGCGGGCGCCCCCCCCCGGAAGAAGATAGGGAGAGACTTCTCTGGAGAATCTGATTTGTCTAAGGGAAAAGACCTAGAGTCTGAAGAGAACCCAGATAATTCTACAGTACAGTTTCCAGTTGACAAGCTCTGTATGCATGCTTGGAGCTTACACTGAGTTTTTTCATGCACTTCTCTTAAAGGCAGTCAGAGAGTCTGGGGTCCTCAACAGTTTGAGGAAAGTTGATGATAGAGAACAAAGAAAAGGTAGGACAAGGAAAAAAACTCGGAAGAAACAGAATTGATTACACTCAATAGATAGAGATGGAAAAGAAAACTTAAAAAAAATACATACGATCATTAATATTCTCAGATAAAAGATACAGCATCTGTAAAACAAGAATGGCATTGCTATTTTTTAAAAGCAGCATTTAGAATACAAAAAAAAGGAAATCTTAGAGATCAAGAATATAACAGAAATGAAAAATAACGTTAAAAGGATAGAAAATAAACTTGAAAATTTTTCTCCAAGACTAGAGCAAAAATGATATGGAGACGAAAAATGGGAAATTTTTTCAAAAGTCAGACTGCTAGTTTAAAGGATCCAACATCTGAATAATTGTAGTCAAGAGAGAAAATCATTGAACTAATAATTCAATATAATTTTATAGATCTGAAAGACATGAATTTTCAATTAAATACCAGAACGATGAATGAAAATGGACTCACTCCAGTGGTTGTTATTGTGAAATTCAGAACACTGAGTTCAAAGAAACATCCTACACGATTTCCAGTGACAGAAAAAAAGAAGTCCCTACAAAGAGTTAAGAATTACAATGGCATGACACTTTTCAACAACATCATGAGAAATGGGAAGGCATTGGGGCAATGGCTTTAAAATTCTGAGGTAGGGGCACCTGGGTGGCTCAGTCAGTTAAGCGTCCAACTTTTGGTTTCGGGTCAGGTCTTGATCACATGGTTCAGAGTTTGAACCCCACATTGGACTCTGTGCTGGTAGTGAGGAGTCTGCTTTGGATTCTCTTTCTCTCCCTCTCTCTTTCTCCCCCTCCTGCTCTCTTTCTCTCTCTCTCTAAATAAATTATATATATTTATATATTTACATGTATATATAAATATATATGTATACACACACACATACATACATATATATGTATATTTCTGAGGTAAAATAATTTCAATCCAGAATTCTATACCAAGAAACGGTCAGTGAAGTATGAGGATAAAAAATACCTTTTCGGACATACAAGTTATTGAAAATTTCTTCTACCTTGCAGTTTTTCCTCAGGAAGCTATCAGAAGATGTGTTCCATCAAAACTCAGGGAGTAAACCTAAGGGAAAAAAAGATAAAGGAATCAGATAACAGAGCCCATCATAAAAGGGAGGCGAAGGAAATTCCTAGGATGATGGTGAAGCAGAATTCCAGCATGACAACTATGCATCAGATTGGGACAGCTAACCAACCAGTCCAGATTGGAGCAGGTCTGAAGGTGAAACTGACAGATGAATTGTCTATGTGTTTGAGGAAATTTACAAAATAGGAGAGTCTGATGTTGAATCAGTGATAAATACAACGAGAACCAAGCAGAGAAAAAAACTAGATCATTATGAACACCAAGAAAAATAAAATACTCTATTGGAATAAGTAATCATAGTAGATACATGGCTTAACTGTAAATACATCTGTATAAACATAGTAATGTAAACACTAAATTTATGGTGTTGCTGCTATATTTGGAAGATGAAAGAATGGATATGTGTTGAAGTGGGGGGGTGGGTAATGTGTGTGAGAAAGAGGTGGGGAGGGGAGAGAGAGAGGGAAGCTAAATCCTCATCATCTGTAGGGAGGAAACATTAGATATTGCTTAAAACTGAAATATCACAAAGTGAAATTACAGGCATATTATTTAAAGAAAGTAAGTAAATACTAAGAGTCTACTCAAGGTGTTGAAATAGATTGCCTCTCTGGAGCAGGAAATTGGGAATTTTGGAGGAAGGATAGGGGCTTTCAAAACAAACCATGTGAAGTTTCTTGACTAAACCATATCCTGGTGTGACTGATCTCCTCTTTGTTTGGCAAGGGGAGAAAGGAGAGGCAAGAGACCATTTTTCGTCCTTTAAAAAAGCTCGTACAAAATTATAAAGGTTAATTACTATAGGAATAAAGAAGAGGGTACACTTGAAAGATGTAAGAGCAACCAAATTTTTGCAAGTGATTAAATAGGAGTGAAGGAAGAAGAAAGCAGAGATGTTGCTAGCTTGGAGTTTCTAGCTTGGATGAGTTAGGTGAAGATGCCATTAATTGAGATATAGAAAGATAATGAGTTTTGTTTTGTTTTTTTTTTTTTAGACATGTTAGATTTGCTTACCTATATGGTGAATCTAGGTGACCACATCTAGTACAGGATGATGAATTTGGATTAGGAAGTCAGGAGCTCTGGACTGGAAATAAAGCTTGGTTAAGTTCTCTTTATAGGTGGTAAATGAGATAGAGAAATAAGTGAGATATTTCAGTGAGATGGTACAGTGAAAGAAAAAAAGAATCAATACAAACTTGAGGACTCCCTGCAATTTAAGGGTTGCAATATAGAGGAGGAATTCATTGGAAAAGAGCAAAGAGATGGGGAAACATGTCGTGAAAAAGTTCAGGGAGAAGTGATCTTCTAAAACTGGGGATTTGGTTCAAGATAAAATGGTGAATTTGCATAGGCTATAGGTTTCATTTCCTGAACTCAACCCTATAGCTGCCATAGAAACAAAAGGGAAGCCAATAGAGCTCAGAAAATCACATAGCAGCTGTGAAAACTCCTTGGTCAGTAGAGCAGATAGCTCTGGTATCTGGTGCCACATTCCCTTCGCCCATTTCTCATTGTAGTTGTAGCTGCAGTGGGCAGTTCTGTGCAACAAGCTCAGACTCACCTCGCGGGGACAGCATCTCATCTCGGTCTCATGACACCCTCTTTAGAATTTCTGCCACCGAAAATTCTGTATGGGGAGCTTGCTCCTTCCAAATGCATGATGGAGAACCCATGAGGTTCTTAGCCGACAGGGGATGGGGTCTAGTAGATAAATGCTCCAGTGCCCTGTCTATCTGGTGAGAAGCAATTTTAAGAGGTGTTCTGAGCACTTTTCAGGAGGTCCCAGTGAAATCAAGTACCCCACAGTAGTGACCTCAGTAGCCTTCTTAATGCCTTTCTTCCTTCCTTCTTATTCTGTCTGCACCCTCATTTCCCAAGATCTGAAGTCAACTACTTACGGTCAGGTCTTCGTCTTGGGCTCTGCTTTTGGGGAAACCCACCGTGTGTGGGAATTAGAGTAGCAGAAGTCCAGAGGAGAAGGCCAAGTGCCATAAATTGGGTAAGGACCAAGGAAGATACACCTTCATCCCATAGGCTAGAAAATTAATTACAGTAAAGGCAACAATTCCTGGAATTGAGCAGTGCCCTATTAGGTCCAGTGGCATGTGATTAAGAAAAAAATCCCAAATAATAGCGACTTAAAGAAGTTTCTTTCTCGTTCAGGTGAAAGAATTTTGCCTGGTAGGTAGCCAGGACTAGTATCAGGACATTATCATGGAGAGACACACTCAACTGTCTGCGTACCATTCAGCACTGCCACACTCATGATCACTTCAGGGTCCCATGTAGGTGTTCCAGTTTCCAGTTTGGGGGAAAGTAGCAGGAGGAAGCAAGGGGGAAAGGGGAACCTCTTCCCTTTTAACAAATTCTTTCTGGAAGTTCCACACTTCTGCTTATATTTCATCAGCCAGAATTTATGTAACCACACCTGGTAGTTGGGAAATGTAGTGTTTAATTCTGAGTAACCACCAGAAAAATAAAGATGCAAAGCATAACTTTTGGATTTAGTACAAAAAATTTTGCTCAATCCAATGCTCAATATGGGAAAAAAGAAAAAAATCTATATAAAAGCATGAAAAATAGAAAACATAAAATGGGCTTTTGTATTAATTATAATAAACATAAATGGACTAAACTCACCAGTTGAAAGCCAGGGACATATAGATTGGATTTTTGAAAATATCTAGTACTATGTTTTCTAGAAGAGGTATGTTTAAAAAAATTTGTTTTAACGTTTACTTATTTTTGAGACAGAGACAGAGCATGAACGGGGCAGGGTCAGAGAGAGGGAGACACAGAATCTGAAACAGACTCCGGACTCTGAGCTGTCAGCACAGAGCCCGACACAGGGCTCGAACTCACATACCGTGAGATCATGACCTGGGCCGAAGTCAGCCGCTTAAATGACTGAGCCACCCAGCCGCCCCAGAAGAGATATGTTTAAAAAGGGAAGAGAAAGGCTGCAAGAAAGGAATAGAAAAAGATATACCATAGAAATATGAATCAAAGAAAAACTAGGGTAACAACTATAGACAGAATTGAAGGTGAAAATCATCACAAAGGTAAAAACAGATATAACATATTGATAAAATAATAATGGATCAAGAAGACACAATGCTTATGTTCGTAAGTATACTTGATATAGACACAAAATATATAAAGCAGTAACTGACTGAACTACAAAGAGAATAAGCTAGAGTAAGGGGAGAGATGATTTGGGGAAGTCTTTCTTTTATTTTTTAAATGTGAATTTATTTTTGAGAGAGAGAGAGAGAGAGAGAGAGAGAGCCCTACGAGTGGAGGAGGGGCAGAGACAGAGGGAGACAGAAGCTCCAAAGTGACCTCTTCACTAACAGCAGAGAACCAGATGCGGGCTCAGTCAAATTCACAAACCATGAGATCATGACCTGAGCCAAAAAGTTGGACGCATAACCAACTGAGTCACCCAGGTGCCTCAGGGGAAGTCTTACCTTACATAAAGTGGCCAAAGAAGTCTTCTCTGAGGAGGTGCCATATGAATGAAGCAAGGGAATTAGCTTTGTGAATAGGAGAGAGAACATTTCTGGTGGAGAGAACAGCAAACGCCTTATGATGGGACAGACTTTGTGGCATATGTTCGGAAGGCAGGGTGGCTGGAGTCGGTAGGTGATTGAGGAGAGGAAAAGAGTTGAATATGCAATTAGGGAGGTGGCAGGGAATCAGAACAGTAGAGTAGAGCAGTGATTCTCAATGCTGTCAAATCCAAAGATTCCCTCCTTTCTTCATGTAAAAATGTTAATAGAAGTATAACAAACACAGAAAACTCAGATGTGTAAAACACAATGAATAATCACAAAGTGAACATCCAGGACCGTCGGCACCCACATCAAGAGAGAGCACTGCCTGCACTTCAGAAGCCTCTTTTTTTTCTTTTAATGTTTATTTTTGAGAGAGAGTGTGAGCAGAGAGGTGCAGGGAGAGAGGGAGACACGGAATCCGAAGCAGGCTTCAGGCTCTAAGCTGTCAGCACAGAGCCCGACGAAGGACTCGACCTCACGGACCACGAGATCATGACCTGAGCTGAAGTTAGCCACTTAACTGAGCCTCCCGGGAACCCCTTGCTTCAGAAGCCTCTTAATGCCCATTTCCAACCATTAACCCTTGCCATGAGCTATCACTATTCTGACTTCTAACACCATACGTTAGTTTTGCCTCAGTTTGAACTTTACATACACGAAATAATGTAAGGTATATTCTGTCATTGTTGGGTGCAGTATTCTAAAAGTCAAGTTTATGGTTCTGATCTTCTATATCCTTAGTGATTGCTTGTTGTGTCAGCTTTTGAGAGATGTGATGAAGTCATCCACTATGATTGTAGCTTTTTTTTTTTTTTACTGTCATGACAATGTTTGTTCTATATATTTTAAAGCTATGTTATATGTATATTCAGATTTTGACTTTTGGTAACTTATTGATGGATTGACTCCTTTATCCTTATGCATGTCCCTTTTATGAGAATAATGCTTCTTGCCTTAAACTCTGTGTTTCATATTAAGTATAGTTGGTTACTGTTTGCATTGTGTGTTTCCCCATTTTATTACTTTCAAACTTTGTGTGCTTAAAAAATATGATGGGTCTGTTAACAACATATTATGGTTTTTTTTTTCACCCAGTATGACAGTCTTAGTTCTTTACTTGGAATATTTAATCCTTTTAATGTAATTGCTGATCTATTTGGGATTTTTGTCTATCATCTGTTTGTTTTCTCTGTTATCTGTTTTTTGTTTCCTTTTCATTCAAGTCTTACCTTCCTTGGATTAATCAAGACTTTTTTTTATTTCCATTTTTTCTTTTTGTTTGTTAATTTGTTAGTTATAATTATTTAATATTAATATTTTAATATTGTGATGTTTATGTAACAAATTAACAAAATTTGTTACTTATACTTTTTTTCTTTTTCTTTTATTTTTTTTGTGTTCTTTTTTTAAAATGTTTATTTATTTTTGAAAGAGAGTGAGAGACAAGTGTGAGCAGGGGAGGGGCAGAGAGAGGGGAGACAAAGAATCCAAAGCAGTCACTAGGTTCTGAGCTGTCAGCACAGAGCCCAACATGGGGCTCAAACCCATGAACCATGAGATTGTGACCTGAGCTGAAGTCGGACGCTCAACTGACTGAGCCACCCAGGTGCCCCGAACTTTATGTATTTTTTTTATGTTTATTTATTTTTGAAAGAGAGAGACAGAGAGACAGAGCACAAGCAGGGGAGGAGCAGAGAGAGAGGGAAACACAGAATCTGAAGCAGGCGCCAGGCTCTGAGCTGTCAGCACAGAGCGCGACGCAGGGCTCAAACTCATGATCCTTGAGATCATGATCTGA